CAGTTGAGCCAGATTCTTTCCATTTTATAATAATGGATTTAATGGCACTCCAGAGGATGTTCATAGTTTGAGATTTTTTTTTTTAAAGTAACCCAGCCCTGTTTGATACTTCTGGACAACTTTATCAGGAGTTGGTTTGATAACTCCTTGGTCTTCATGATGCTGTTTAGATATGACCTCCAACCGACTCTGGGGCCTTTCAGAAGCAGGTGTACTTAAACTGAGGTCATGTAGCACTGCAATTACACAGAGACAGCCTTTATTGAACTCCTTACAGTTCATATGTGACTTCTGTAAACAGTGGCTTGCACCAGAGCCCGCTTAGGCAGGTTACATCAAAGGAACTGGATACTTATATAACCAATAAGTGAGAGTTTGTTTTTGTTTACTTAACTTTTGCACTATAAATACAAGCACTTCCATAGAGTTGAGGATCTTGGGTACATTAAGAGGTTACAGGGCCTTATAAATCCATTTCAGCTCCAGGCTGTAACACAAGCCATGGAAAAGCCAAAGCAGGGGTGAACACACCTGCAGGGCACTGTATAACATCCAAGGGAAAATTCATACTTTCGCCATGTGTTGAGATGCATGAAATGTCCCAGCATGTGGCGCTCATGTATCTCTACGAGAGTGAAGTACAACCTTTTAGATGAAATTTGTAAAGCCTCTATAAGTATAACCAGCTCAATTGCTCATGATAGGACCTGTGAGAGACAGAGCTAGAGAGAGCAGATTAAAAAGAGCAGATTAAAAGGAAGAAAACTTTTCCTCCTCCTTCTTTGGTTTGTCCTTCACATACTTAAAAATTATGCATTAATTACATCTTTCCTACTTTTTTACATTTCTTTGATATAACTTGAGTTTTGAGCTAGAAAGTGAGATTCTGTTGAGTTTTTATCTATAGACAGTGACTCATTCTAATGTTTGCCTTATCAAATTTTGGTGGTGATGACTCCTGAATATTTGCTCATTCTCAATGCTTTTATTACATTAAATCACTCTAGGAGTTTAATGGCCTGAAAAGTGCTTTTGGTCCCATTCCAAGTATCAGCTGCTCTAGCATAAGACTGAAAACTTTGTGATCAAGACAAAAGAGGTAACTCTTTGCTTAAGCCCTAACTGAATTGTTTCAGATTATGGTACTTTAAATGCAGTACTGGCATTATTTGACAAGTGGCCATAGAACTTTAATTTTTCAGTACATGCTTAATACTCAACATTTCCATCTGAAAATGTATAATATATGAACAGCTGGACCCCATCATTTGGTAATCCATACATTAAATAATTAAAGTTTTATTTACAGATTAAAAGTTGGGGTGCTTGATTCATCAGCCATGTTGAGACTGCAGGGTATTACTTTGGAAGTTATAAACAAACTTGCTGTCTCCTTCTTATGCCAATTTTAACAGCACAAATATTGACCCTTCCGGTAAAAATGAAGTAAGTCCTATTGAGTTCAAGGAGGCTTACTTTCAGAAAAATTGGTAACAGTATCGCAGCCTTTAAAGATAGTATTTCCTTCTAGAAGGTATCCAAACCTAGTTGATACTTTGCATTCCTAGGTGAAACCACTATTTTTACCTTATAACTAAAACAACAATCAATTTATGATGTCAACTCTGACATAATCTATGTCAGTCCTTCAAATGTGGATCTTTCACAGTTTGAATACGTTTATTTCTGAAGTGATTTTGATCATAGTCATTATTAAAATAGCATATTCCAAATGTCCAAACTGATGAAAATGACTTTTCATTATATATGTTATAATAATAATAATAGTAATAAGAAACAGGTTTTGTTAACTAAATCAAAGTTTTTTTCACATTTCAAGAAAAAGCTATTCCCTATCTTTAATATTTTCCATGATACCTATCAGATTAGTAAGTAACTTCACTTAAAATTACTCATTTATAACACAGAAAGTAAATGAATGAAAACATTTCATGTGTTGGCAGCCCTAGCTATTACATGAATAGAAAAATGTACCTTAAACATAAAATACAGAGTAAAATTATGGAGCAAGGAAAAAAAGACAGCCAGAATGGTAAAATATGGCCGTTAAGGAAATAGGCGTGCAAAATATATGAGGTGAGACTTCAAATGTGTTGATGAAATACACTTTAAATATTTCTTCTGCAGTGGTTATAAATTTCTTTAAGGTTCAATCCTTTACTAGGTGATATTCGTCATACTTATGCTATTATAGCATGTCGTACTCTTATTAGATTAGAACCAAGCTGACCTGGAAGACAACCTATGCCTGGGGTTGTAGAAGCACCCCAACTCAATTCAATGCAGAATACTCTTTTATAAGGGATAGGAAGAGGAATGCTTTGTAAAAGTTATGGTTAATTTTATGATCGGTAACATGTACTTAAATACAGATAAAATGATTATCATATTCTACAGCGTTAAGCAATTGTTGATAGGAGCAGAAATAGAAATGGCTCAATGTTACCCAAGCAATTACATTAGCATTATGTACTTTTAGGACCTTACTCATAGCTATTGGAACCAAACCTAGTATTCTATTTCCAAGATATTAATCCCCTCTTTATTGATTTAAGTGACATCTCCAGGTAAGCACATCTAGGACTGATGTATTATGCTAGCATGTTCAGGTGAAAGCTTAAGAGCAAAAGATCTCCAAGGAAATATTTGGGGTTGGGAATTTAAAAATGGTTTGAGATCGGAAGGTTAAATATTCTGTGTTATCCTACATAAAGTTAAATGCCAACTTACTCATGCTAAACTTTACCAGAACTCCCCTGGAATAAACAGATTTTATATCAATAATTCATTTTTTAAAGGACTCACCTTTCTTACCCTATGAAGACACTGAACCAACGTTTTCAAGGAATCTTTTCACATGAAAACATAACCCACAGTAAACACATTCCATGCATTTTATTACAATAACTGAGGGAAGTATGTCCACAGAACCAAGGTGGTTGGGAATTCTTCAGAACATGACATAGGTCCCTTGTTTCCAGTCCTGCCTGCACATACCCTGTGTCTGCTCAATTCAGTCCCAAGTAACAGCTTTGCAAGGTAATGACTCTTCTTCAGGTGATGGTGACGGCTCGCACAATAGCAGAGACCCAATCTTCTGCACTGCTACAGCATCTTGAGAGGAGAGGCTGTGAGGGACCCAGGGGAGCAGGACTTCATCTGCAGACATCAGTGGGGAACTTCCTAACCTGGAATTTAAGGTCTTACCCAAGAGAGCACAAAGATCAAACCTGATGGGAAGTTGCACCATCTGATATGGAAGTCTTGATCTCTGAACTTAGGTGGCTGAGCCAGCACTAAGGGGTGAAGAAAGGGCACTCTGCATATGCTCGCAGAAGTTAATGTCTGTATCCCTGCTTTTATAGGTCAGAGTTAACCCACTGTAATGACTTGAACAAGTTTCAGGAATAAGTATTTCCAGTTCTTCCCATCTCTAAGTCGAATGTAAAAACCAACACTGGGTCTAATACCTGGGTCTATATGGAGTGACTGAATCACCACAGGGTATGCTCTTTCAACCAGAGGAAATTTGGCTACTTGTATTATTTGACAAAATGGAAAAGAGTATTTTGTCAAACACCACGCAGCAATATGTGATAAAAGATACTCAATCTCTAGGTTTTGAAGTGACTCTTTTGCTTCTTTCCCTTTATTAATACCATCACAAATGACACTGCAGATCCAAGACAAAAGACACTCTAATTCATCATTAAAACATGCAAGCTACAGTATTGGCTAGGATGGGTATGCAGTGATGGGGGAAAGTTCACACTGCAGACAACTATCATGGCCCAGAGCCGTATCAGGGAAGAGCTGACAAATGCTAATATACATTTTCCAATTGCATTTTCTTGCTGTGGGTGCATTCAAGTAAGCATCTTCCATGACTCCATATACATGACTCCATATACATTCCATGGGCATATGTATATTCTGAGGCAACAACACATGTAGGGATCTTTGAAGGATGCTGGTTGTCCTGCATCCAACACAACCATGGAACCATGTCATATTGCCTTCTTGGTGTTGGCACCCACTCCCTAATGCTTTGGGAAGCACAAAATAGGGCATGCTTCAAATCCCTCCTGAAAACACACTTCTTCCCCCAGGCTTCCTCTGGCTTGTAATCACTTGCAATGGTGTGTCCCTTGTACTGATTTATATTGCTAATGCAGCTGGAAAAGCTATAAAGTGTGCTTTACATGTGATTTTTAGTGTTACTGTACTTGGAATTGTTCTTAATCATGCTTTTAAATGTGGTTTTAATACTTAAACGTGAAGCAGGGAATTTATTGAGTTTAGTGGTATATAACTACTACTGATAAATGAACCCCTACTCCAAGTTCTATGCGGACATTTAAATTGTTTGCAAAGGATATCTTAAGCCAATAGTGTATTCTAGAGGCACAACGTATCAGCTCTCTTCTTAAGACTTTTTCACCATTTTTTTAAAATAAAGACTTGCTCTCTGGGCATGGAATGGTGACTGACTCGTGAACGCCTTCTCTAGAAAAAGGGCACAGCTCCCACTCTAAAACAGGTACATTCTGTATTGCAACTTTTGCACGGTCTTCCTTCCCCCACGTCCCATGTCTCTTCCGACCTGCGTCTATATATAGATTGGAGTCATACAGCCTCCAAAGCATGTACGTTTGCTGCTCGGCTCAGGCTCGCTTTTCGGGTGTCCTACTTGCAAAGGCCCTTAAAAGTTCCTGTTTCCTCACCGGTTTTTACCAAATGTGCTTCCTTCCCCATAAAGGAGATGTACACAAAGGAATCCAGCCATGTGAAGGAAAGCCATTCGCCGCCTCGACCTAGGAGAAAGACGAGCCGCCTCCAAGGAAGCAAGGAGCAGGAAGGCTCACGACAGAACCCGCGCAGTTTCTCGGCCGCCCGAGAGACGCATTCCGAGGCGCTGCTGAGGGGCGAAAACCACAAACATTGACAAGAATCCGCGGAGCTGCGCCGCCGCTTCTTACCTGCTACGTGCCAGAACCGGGAGAGCGGGCAAAGGCCCCTTCCCCGTCTTCTGCTTGCACAAAGAAAGGGCAGGAAGAAACGCCGCAAGCGGGCGCAGCAAGCAAGTTCTGGCGGAAGAAAGGTCAACGCTCTGGCTTGTCCACGGAGTGAGACGGCTCCAAGGGCGACTGGCCGTGATAGAGGTGCCCTTGTGCATTTTTGTTTGTTTGTTTGTTTGTTTGTTGAAGGGCGGCGGGGGCGGCTGGGTGATACGAAACTGCGCATTGCAGCCTGGGACAGCAAATGTCACAGGTCAGGGAGGGACAGACTTTGTATTTGTGCTTTTTGTTTTGGTTTGCACTGGAGTCCTGGGATTCCCCAGCTGGGGCCAAGTGCTGCATAGTTAGCTCAGGCATGCCCTAATAGGCTGACTCTGTGCCCATGCTTAGCCCCCCAATTTATGATGAGCAACCAAGAACCAAGCTCAGAAGTCCTTTCACACACTAATCCAGCCTCAGCGTGTTCTATTTCAGAAGTCTGCTATTATCTAAAGCACACTCCTACTCAAAATTTTAAAAACCTTACAATAGATCTTAATGTACCTTTTGCCCACCCCTATGACAAACACTTCAACCTTGCTGCCCTAAACATGTCATTTGGAAATTCAGCAATCTATCTGAATATTTATATTGAAACAGGTTAGGGCAGGAGGCTTGGGGTGCTAAGAAAGAGGTTGACAAAAGGTAGACAAGAATCTACTAGCAGACCTCACTGTTTTCTTTAAGATTATGTCAGCAGGTACTTCAGCAGGTGTGGAAGTGGGTAGAGGAGTGGAAATAAAGAGATCCAGAGTTTCCAAGGTCTCAAGAAAACCCACCTGATTTGGAGAGGTGGCAGCTCTTTGGAGGTTCAGGCCTGTCTGAGTGGAGCTGCTCTGTGCACCACAATGACACCCCACAGCGACGACAGTATTGCCTTCTAGAGCAACAGATATAGGGCAGCTCATGCAGCTTGGGCCACCTGCAGGAGGGGACAGTTGCCCCTCTGGCTTGCCTGCCCTCTCACTCAGTCAGGATTGTGGCAGCAGCACTGCCTGGGGAAAAAGTGCAAGAGAAGGGAAACGATTCATTCATGGCTGGCAAAGGAGAGCTGTTTGGCCCAGTTCCCCAGAGCTCCTTCAGAAGATGTCAGCCTTGAAGTGGATTAGGATTAGTTACCTTGTTCATCCTCTGTCCCACAGCTCCTGTGGTTTATATTGCTGTGGGAGTTGGCCCAGCCAGAAGCAAAGAAAGCGCAGCGACCTCGTACCTTTCTCCTGGGCCAAGCACCAGAATGGACTGAGACCAACAAGAGCCATTGTCCCTGTGACATGGGGCTAAAGAAAGAAGAGCAGACAAGCAGCGTTGCTTTCTTCTTTGGCGTGTCCCCACATGGCCCAAGCCTTCCCATCTCATTGCCTAAACTGAACAGGCAGTTTCCTGGAAAGGGTTGGTGATGCTGACAGATTTGAAAAGCAGCAGCTGTTCAGTCTTCATTGCCTGACTGCTTCAAGATTGGTGGTGGTGAAGTGGAAGGGGGTGATCATGCAAAGATTGCCTTCTCTTGCCTGCCTGAGATCTCCCACATGTTCAGACCTCATGATATAGTGGAGGTTTAGGAATAAGCTGGCCATTCATGGCTTTGAAGTTCAGTATTCCTGAAAATTCGTAATTCATGCTTCCTCAAGTGTGGCATTACATGAATGCACTTGTAAGTGATTCTGAAGTTAAGCTCCAACTATCCAAACTACTGAGTGTAAAGCTGTCCTTACATTTGAGGAATGACATATGAGACAACTACATTCTTACAGTGGTACCTCATCGACAAATATAAACACCTTTATCAAGTATTATGTTTTTCTCAGATTAAATTTTGGCAAATTTGATGGAAACAGTTATGAGCAGCCGTAATAAAGGAGTTAAAAGACTGTTGCATGAATAAGATTGTACAGCCATTTTGGCAACTAGAATGGAGAATGAATACAAACTAAGTTTTGTGACATATGAGAAATTAAATATTTGTCTTGGTAGCTTTATTCAGTAAGAATTTCCAAGTGCCAAATCAGTACACAAAACCATGAAAAAATATGTCATGTTCTGTTCCATAAATCACATATAGTAGCATTTAATTGCTTTAAAATGTTCCATTTCCATTTTTTTTATGATTCTGCTCATGGGTTTTCCTTGCTTGTCTAAGTTGTTAGAGAGATCAAACATGTTCAGCAGATCTCCATATCTGCATAACTTTACTCGGTTCTTATACAGCTGATGCTGTGGAAACCAGGAATTTTCAAATTAGAAACCAGTTTGGTCAGTGCGAATCTATTTTTTTTTATTTTTTTTATTATTAAAACATGTTTTTTATTAAAAACAGATGGTGTGGTTTGTCCATTATAAAGAGGGAAATATGGTTTATTTGTAAAGGTTTCTGGCTATATGAGGGGAAAGAACATGCAATTACATTTATGCATTCAAAGAGGATTCCATGCATTGACAACGATTCTGGACCTGAAAGGAGATGCATCCCTTTTTGGATCAGATCTGAATCCATTTATGGAGAAAGGCAGCTGTCAGATTCTATATACATACTGTGGGTTTGCATCTGATGCAAGCCAATGAAAGTAATCTTGGTAGGTTAAATTCAGACAACAAAGGTGAAAAATGTTTGATGCCCATCTTAGCAGGTTATTTTTGGAAATAAATTATGTAATGGAATATTTGCAGTGCTATGCAACTAACAAAAACAGTATTAATGCAGAGCTCCAACTGCTCTTATGCCTTACTTGTATTCTTATGATAGTCCTGTAAGGTAGGTTCATTGTCTTTACACTGCAGGAAGGTAGAAGGGCTGTAGTTAATGCAGAGAAATCGTTGCCTGAGGTGCAACCCTTTCCACTGAGGGACTCAGAAGAGACCTCTGAATTTCCTCTGCCCTACCAGGCTGAAGCCTGCAGCGGGGGAGGAACAACAGAAGCAATCTTTGCCTACCCACCCCTCTCATCTCTTGTTCAACAAGGGTGTTCAAAGAGAGAGGAAAGAGCTGGAAGAACTTCAGGATAACTCATACTCTGGCTTCTCCTGTCTCCTCTGCCTGCTGCCCACCAGCATGGTCACTTGTTAAGTCTCCAGTGTCACTTTTCCAATCTCAGAGAGGCAACAGGCATTGTTCTGCCCCTTCCGACATCATGGGAGAGAAATCTAAGGCTGCATCTCTGACTCACCCCTCGTGAGGCCAGCTTGCTGTCTCTTATCTCAGGGAAGGTTTTAGGAGCCATCCTATGGTCCTTGGGAAGGTCTCTCAAGGACTATTGGATTGCTGTCTATGCTCATCTGGTACCATAGAGATATGAACCAGAGTTCTGACTATATATTATTATGCTTTCTAGTTGTAGACTGGACTCCTGATGAAAGATGTAATGCTAGAACTTCATTTCAAATGACCATGAAAAGCACACTCAAACCAGATGTTTGCTAGACCATTTCCAGGTTGGGTATCCAGTGCTGGGGTTATGTTTATTGTCCTAAATGACTGGGGCCAGGTTATTTTAAGGGACCAGCCACAGCCGTGTGAACCTGACCAGACTTTAAGATTAGCTACTGAGATCCTGCTCAAGGAACTACAGTAAAGTTCATCAGGTTGACTCGCACAGGAGGCAGGGCTTTTTCCACTGGAAATACCATCCCTGTGGAATTCCTTTCCATTGGAACTGTGGTTGCTTTTCTTCCTTTTGATTTTAAGTGGGCATTAAAAACACAGATGTTTCAGTCTGGCTTTTTAAATTAAATAATGATCCCAGGGTATATTTTTTTCTGTAGTTCCAACTGTTTCTGAAAGAAAGACTGCTTTATGCTGCTGTTTTAACTTTTTATATTGCTTTTTAATATTTAATTTTTTGTGCATCGTCTTCAGGGGTGCTTGCCTTAAATTACATAAATGGAACTATTTTTCGGATCTTACAGAAAATCTATCATAAAAAAGAATGGTATAAGGATAGAAATTTGAGAGTTAGAAACATTTTTGCAGCTGCAGGCCTAACTCTGAAACAGCTCTAGTCCCTCTGCAAGGAAGATATTAAGCATGTTTGTTTGATTGATGCATCCTATGAAATGTCTAATAGGTGCTGCATGTGATCCAAATGGAAAAGAATTTTGTCCAACTGAAATAAAGCACACTCCCTTCTACATTACATAATAACTTAGCAAAAGTATGACTCATTACCATTATCCTTTTATTTTTCTTAATGTCTATAAAAATGAAACGCTAAAATAGAAATATCCAAATGAATAATGAAATTCTGCTACCCAGTCACTTTACAGTGCAGTACATGTTTTTGTCGCTATCACAATATCATTTTACAGATATGCATACCATTTGGTGAATTTATTTATTCCATGCAGTCCCAGGTTGGCTATTATTGCAGCACAATTAAACTGCATTGCTTCAGTTTCAGGTTATTTTATCCCATGTTTACTTTTGACATGGGATAAAAGCCACCTTCAGCTATTCATGTGTCTCCAGCTGCATGTGGAATTGATCCATCAAGCAATTATATTTTTATATTGCTTTCCTCCAAGGAATTCAAAGCAACATACGTGGTTCCTTTTTGCTGCCACCCCCGCCCCATTGTAGCCTCATAGCTGTGAAACAGGTAAGGCTGAGAGAGGGTAACCAGCCCCTGCAGGACTGAGCAAGGATTCAAGGCCGGGGTGCTTTCAGGTGAGCTGTTGATTGTACATTTATGCTGCCTCATTCATGGAGCTGGAAGAAGCTGCCCAGATGATGTTGTCTCATAAGCCTCTCATCCTTTCTGGCTACTTTTCCAATCTTTTTTCACACCAGGAAAAAAAATAATGGTATAGGAAAGGTGAGATAGGAAAATCTGCTAAAGCCCTTCATCTAGATTCTAGAAGCTTTCCAAGTCCAAAGGCTTCCCCAGCCAGGGGTCTTCCAGATTTGTCGAATTGCACTTCTAGCTGCACCATAGCTACAACAATGTGTTGGACTACAACTATGCCTGCTGGAGTTCATGGGAGTTGTGCTCCAACACAGCCAGGTTGGGGACATGATCTAGTTCGTGTCCAACATTCTACAGAACTCTGGATCTCGTAACAAATCATCTGGCACATCCTTAGACGTGGTTTCAGCTTCCCAGCATCAATATCTAAGATCACGCTCATGCTCAGAAAGGCACCTTTTCAAGTGGTGCTGAGTCAGAAATGGCCACTCAGAAGCTATAGCTGGATTCAGAGTTACATGGAATTATGCACTGGACATGCTGTGCCTGACTTTTGCAGTCTGGCTTATAATCTACCCAGTTTGGAGATGCCCAATGAACAATTGGATGCCTCATGAGTGGGGTGAGCCCCACCTCTTCTTCCACCCTCAGGCTTCTGCAGGTATCTCATGGGGTTTCACAGAAGCACTGAGGTCCCCCTCCTGGCCCCTGTATGTTAATAGGGGAGGGATCACTAATGGCCTTCATCCTAATTTGTGAGTAGACTTCATGATGTGCACTGAAGGATGTCAGCTCTGCCACTGATCTG